CGCGCGCTGCCGGGGCGAGAAGGAGGAAGCGCGACAGCTGGCGCGGGTTGGAGCTGGAACGCCCGGGAAGCGGGAGGGCTGGGCCAGCACCCGGTAGGTAGCGTTCCCCAAACTCCCTTCCGCTCCCTCGGCCCGCTCCCAGGGTAACGGAACCGCTTCTGGGGTCCCGACGCGGAGCAAAGTCTCTTTCCGAACCTCCACAGCGGCTGCCGGGGCGAGAAGGAGGAAGCGCGACAGCTGGCGCGGGTTGGAGCTGGAACGCCCGGGAAGCGGGAGGGCTGGGCCAGCACCCGGTAGGTAGCGTTCCCCAAACTCCCTTCCGCTCCCTCGGCCCGCTCCCAGGGTAACGGAACCGCTTCTGGGGTCCCGACGCGGAGCAAAGTCTCTTTCCGAACCTCCACAGCGCCGCACGGGTGGATAAGGGTTCTCTGGTTTTGGCCTCTTGGTTCCCAACGTCCCATCCTCAGCATTTCCACACCTGTCACCAGGAAGTTTGTGAAAATACCTGCGTCTGAATCCCACTTTTCAGATTTACACCGGAGAAGTGTAAATATTACTGGACATCTGCTCTGCCTTAGAAATTCGAGCCCATATCCCCAACCACGCCAACCTCGCAACTTCCTCCTCTACTATGCAACGACACCCTCCACCCTGCTACCACCTCCTTACCGGCAGGGCTATCCTGTGAGATGTTTGTGGGGGCTTAATGAATTTTGAGGCTGCAAGCCACCTAAGTCCCCCTCTGGGGCCACAAACTAGTAGCAGGGGTGGGCAGGGAAGAACAGATCCTGGAGCAGTCCAGGGAGAAAGGAGGCAGCTACAGCCTCTGATAAGGATGAGGTATTCAGAAGGCCAGGTAATCAAGTCTTCGCCCTCAAGCTAGGCGTGCCTTCCCATGAGGCTTCTTGCCGGGCCATCCGAATGTCCTGGGGATACAAGTAATTCTTGAGTAATGGTCTATTTATGTGATTTGGAATGTGAGCATTGAATGCACAAGTGAAAAGGACTCTGTAAATGTTTGTACTAGCTTTGGAAATAATATTTATCTCTTGATTAACAACAATTTTAGTATTGTTGTTTAAAATTAATTCTAAAGAATGAGAGGCACTGAGTTTTTAACTAGAGGCATGGTGTTTATAGAGTCTGGTTGTGACCCTGTGAGTCATTCTCTCTAAGGGCCTCAGTTTCCACCTTGGTGAGACATGGGGGTTGGTATCTCCCAGCTTTGAAGTTGTTCTAGGATTCTTTGCCTCCACGTCAACTGCTTCCTTTCTCACCCCAAGTTGGTAAAGGTGGGTAGGGAAAGTAGAGGAGGGAAGGGAAGGGTGAGTCACAAATAGCTGGCGGGAGAGCAAGCAGCAGACGCCACCCTTCCAGTGCCAGAAGTTGCATGAACTAGCCTAGGTTGTTACCTCAGGGTTGGGATAGAGCTGGACTTGTTCCAAGTCTTTAAGGCACCAGGATCCTGCAATTTGCTGCCCTTTAGCTCCAGGAACAGTCAGACTCTCAGAGACAGAAATCAGGAGGACAACTGAACAAATCCCAAGAGACCTTATGTCCAAGGTCCCAGTCTGAGGATGTCCTTGGACCCTGGCAGGCTATTTTCTAGGCACCTCATCCTCTTCTCAGAGGCAAAGTACAGGACTCTGGTATTATTACATGTCTGTACCTGATACATAAAAAAGGCAGAAGGAATGCTGTTCTTCATCACTGCTAGAAATTTCTAGAATTCGAGCCTCCCTGACTCACAGGCATCATTTTTCCTAAGGTCCAAATGTGTTTGAGACAGGGTCTTGCTACAGTACAGGCTGGTCTTGAACTCAGTATGTACCCCAGGCTGGCCTTGAACTTGGGCCTGGGATTACAGACACATACACCACTCCCAGTCAGATGTTTCTGTAATTATCACTTCATGTAATAATAGTTAATGTTTATAGAATTTGTTTTTTGTACTTGGGATTGAACTCAGGACCTTGCATTTGTGAGGTAGCCAAGGTGCCACTGAGCTAAATCCTCAGCCCTGTTTATTAAATTCTTAATCTGTGCCCACGCAGTTCGGTATGTACATTGTTTATATCTTAGTCTATTTAATCCCCACTCTGTAATTTCTCTAGGTACCCACTTTACTGATGAGAAAATTGAGGTTGGGCTGGGATGTTACTCAGTGGAAGAGTGTTTGCCTAGCACTCAGGAGGTCCTGGGTTTGATCCTCAGTGCCATTTAAAAACAAAACCAAAAACCTTAAGTTCAAGAAAATAAAATGACTTATCCAAGAGCTATTATTCTAACCTATGTATAATTCAAGTCTTTTTGTTTTGTTTTGGTTTTTGAGACAGGGTCTCACTATGTACTTGAGCTGACCTGGAACTCACTATGTAGCCTAGGCTGGCCTCAAACTCACAGCGATCCTCCTGCCTCAGCCTCCTGAGTGCTGGGATTATAAGTGTGCGCCACCATGCCCGGCTCAACTCTATTCTTTTTTTTTTTTTTTGTACCGGGGATTGAACTCGGGTCCTTGTGCTTGCAAGGCAGGCCACTGAACCACTGAGCTAAATCTCCAGCCCTCAAGTCTATTCTTGATGAGCATGGTGGTACACCCTGTAATCCTAGCACTCTAGGAGGCCAAGGTAAGAGGAACACAAGTTTAACTCCAGCCTGGATAATTTAGTGACTTACTGAGAAATTGTCTTAAATAAATAAATGTATATACATACGTATTGGGAATGTACTCAGGGTAAAGGCCCCAGGTTCAATCCATAGAACCACACATAGACAAAAAAAAGTCTTATTATCTTTTCTTATTTGTTTAGTTTGGTTGTTTGGTTTTTTGAGACAAGTTCTTACTACGAAGTTGAAGCTAGCCCTGAACTCACTATGTACCCCAGGTTGGTCTCAAACTCACAGGGATCCTCCTGCCTCAGCCTCCTGAGTGCTGGGATTACAGGTGTTCCACCACCCCCATCTTGGCTGGTCTATTCTTGTAGTTCATAACACCTCTCTGAACTTTACCCAACAAGTAAAGTAGAAGTCAGAGTTTGTTTTGTTTTGTTTTTTGATACAGGGGATCGAACTCAGGTCCTTGCGCTTTCAAGGCAGGCAGCAGAACCACTGAGCTAAATCCCCAGCCCGAAGTCAGGGTATTTGATGGAATACTTCAATAAATGCTTTTTTCATCGATCATTTACCAGTTACTTATTTAGCACCTACTCTGTGTGCTCTAAATTATCTCATATGCCTCTGTCAAGTGGACACTCTACCATTGCATTTAATTATATATACTTGGATCAATATGACTCCCAGCTTTTTGTTTGTTGAGACTGGGTCTGTCAGGTCCAGGATGGCCTTGAATTTGTTATGTAGCCCTAGCTGGCCTGGAACTCACAATCCTCTTGCCTCAGCTTCCAAGTGCTATGATTACAGGCAGACTCCTCAGCTTTACACAATCATCTGTACAATAAATACTAAGCACTCACTACATGGGCAATGTTTTAGGTACTCATGATACAGTGATAAACAAGACTGATAAACTCCTGCCCCTGTGGAACTCACATCTTGGTAGATGACAAGCAGAAAAGAAAGAAGCAAATAAATGGGGCAGATAATTATTTTTTCTAGTTTTTTGTTTGTTTGTTTTGTTTTGTTTTGTTTTGTTTGAGACAGGGTCTCACTACATAATTGAGACTGACCTGGGACTCACTATGTAGCCCAGGCTGGTCTCAAACTCACAACAATCCACCTGCCTCAGCCCCCAAGTGCTGGAATTACAGGTGTGTGCCACCACATCCTGCTGGGGCAGATAATTTCTACATGTGATGAATTCTATAAAGGAAAACAAAGGAGGGTGCTGTGTAAGGAAGGGAGCTACTTTAAGATGGAAGAAACACTTTGCACTTGGGAGTCTGAGGCAGGAGGATCACCATGAGTTCAAGACCAGCCTAAACTACACAGGAAGACCCAGTCTCAAGAGGAAAAAAAAAGATGGGAAGGAACAAGGAAGTTCTCTGGAAGGAAATAACATTGCAGCTGAGGCAAAAAGTTGGCTTTGCCTAGAGGAGGAAGGGATGTGCCAGGTAGACAGAATAGTGACTTTCATGGCCCTAGAAGGTAAGAACTTGGCATGCTCGAGGAACAGGAAGGACAGCAAGACTAGAAAACCATGGGGACAGGGAAAGTGGAACAGGAAGACAGCAGAATACCAGGCAGAGGCCCTATCATATGGTTCTTGGGCAGCAGCCTTGGCTTCTTCCCTTGACAGCTGCCTTAGAAAATCCCAGCCTCTCTGAGCTCGTTTCTACACCTTTGGAATGGCTATACCAATGATTTTTATTTCACTGGATCATGCAGGATTTGACTTTTTTTTCCCCCTTTTTTCAGTAATGGGAGAGCCTTGTGCATGCCAAGCAAATGTTCTACCACTGAACTACATCTCTAGCCCTTTTCATTTTGAGACAGTGTCTCACTGGGTTACCCAGACTGGCCTTGTATTTAAGATCTTCCTGTCTCAGTGTCCCAAGTAGGGAGAATGACAGACAATCCCTATTGTGCTGGGCTAATAACTTATTAACACACAACGCTATCAAAGCTAAGAATGAGATCTGGACATGACTGACATGAGCTGTTTGATGCCCAAATTGTGCTGTACTATGTACTGAAATAAAGTAGGTAATTATTGTTGTGGTTGTTTTGAATCATCAAGGCAACTCACCCTATGTGATTTGGACCCTGGCCAGGATCCATATGACAGCTCCTTCTTGGTTCCTAGGTCCAGTAGCCAAAAACTGGGGCTCTCTGGACGCTGCTAACCCCGCTCTGTGCCCAGGGCCACCCCCCATGGTCCCTAGGCCCCTGCCTTCTGCTGCCGTTCAGGCTCCACGGGCCCCCAGCGAGGCGGGGCCGGCCGGGGACCGAGCCAAACGTGGTTCTGTGTCGCGCGTCAGAAGCGCTAGAGGTCGTTGCGGGGCGTGGGTGGCTCGGGGAGTGGGTGACGGAGCAGGGCTGGGGCCCAGGGCTGGAGGCGGAGCGAGATGGGGTCTTGGCCTGGCAGGCGAGCTAGAGCTAGCGCTAGCGGGAGGCGAGCTAATGCCGTGAGAACCACCCCAGGTCCCCGATGAGGAGCGAGACAGAGAGCTGGAGAGCGGGGCTGCTCCAGGCTGCTGAGCCTGCGGGTGGAGGGTGAAAACGCAGACAATAGCCAAAGACAGTCACAGAAATAGTACTGGGGGGGGCACAGATGAATCGGAGGAGAATCCGGAGATGCAAGAGAGAAAGTCAGAGATGAGTCAGAGAAAGACAGGACAGTCACGGCCAGGGAGAGTAGAGAGGGACACACAGAGAGGAAGGGATTTAGGGAGGGAAGGACTCAGAGACAAGGAAAGAACAAAAATAATAGTGGGAGTAGAGCAGACAGAAGCCAAACATACAGACAGCTGGCTCTTCTCCACACAAGCCTTGTCATCTTCCCCTAGGCCTTACCCCTGAAGAGGACCAAGCGCCGGAAGTATTACTACCAAGCTGCCTTTGTGGCCATCCTTAAGAAAAACAGAAAGATGGCCAAGGAGAGGGGCCTAATAAGCCCCGAAGATTTTGTCCAGCTGCAAAAATACATGGAATGTGAGTCCTCCTCCCAGCCCTCCAGTTCCAGGAAGAGAATCCCTCTTCCTGCTCCTTACAGCCCCCTATGTCACCCCGGTTTCCCCAATGGACTTGAGCCAACTCCTCAGACATGGCAGTGACTGGGAAAGGAAGGAGATGGGGAGAGGCCTGAGGTCTCAGCTCTCTGTCCACCTTCTCTATACCTTGACTGCTTGCTCCAGGCCTCAGAAAACAGGAGAAAAGAGTGGTACCAATTTGAAGGATCTGAAATGTTTTTCCCACTGTATTTCTGTGCTTCTGCTTGGAATTTCCTCATTTCATTCAAATCTGTTTTCCTGCTTGGTGTTTGAATGGGTCTCTCTGGCGGAAGGCCAGGACAGCTGAGCTGGATTAATGCTCTTCTCTTACTCTCTTCACAACTAGACTCCACCCAAAAGGTCAGTGACGTCCTAAAGCTCTTCGAAGATGGCGAGATGGCCAAATATCTCCAAGGAGACGTGAGTGGCAGCTGGGAGATCCTCTCCTCGACCAACTCCTCTCATCTTTTTGCCATTCCACTGGGATCCCCAACCTCCGGGGATTATTCTGGGCCTGCTCTCATCCCATTGTACATGGTCACTACAGCTCTTGCTTTAGGAAAAACAAGAGATTCTATTAACTCAGGACTTGGCTCAAAAAGCCATACCTCCGCCTCAGATATTTATCAGCTCTAAACTTATTGTCTCTGTCCCAGCTACTCCCAGCTCTTCAGTTCCCACCTGCTACCCTGCAGGCTCTTCAGGGTAATACATACTCTCATCACAGGCCATTGGATACGAGGGATTTGAGCAGTTCCTGAAAATCTATCTGGAGGTGGATGATGTTCCCAGTCACCTAAGCTTGGCACTGTTTCAGTCCTTCCACAATGGTCAATGCTTAAACGAGACTTTGCTAAAAGGTACGGTTTAGCAGGTAGGATGGAGCCGGGCCTATGGAAGAAAAGTCAGATTAGTGTGGGTTTGGGGAGGAGAGGTGAATTGCATCTCATGCATCTCATTCATTGTGGGCAGATCGGGAGAGAGTGGTAGAGGGTGATCAGGCTGGTTTAGGAGCTAGCAGGAAGAAAGTTAGAGGGAGGAGGTGGAATAAACATAAGAGAAGAAAAGAGCCAAAGTGGAAAGAACCCTGACTTCAGTGCTACTGTACTTTTCTGTGGCAGATGTGGTGTGTCTTAGTGATGTCTCCTGCTACTTCTCCCTTCTGGAGGGTGGCCGGCCAGAAGATAAGCTAGAATGTGAGTGAGTTGCCATTCTGGACTGGAGTGGGGAGGAAAGGGAAAGGGAGAGGTGTTCCCTCATTTCTGACCTTGCTTCTTTTGGACTTCCTAAAGGCTGACAAAGGTGAGGCAGCGAATGGGCCCATTTCTTCTGTTCCCCTAGGCTACTTATACCTAATGCAATGTCCCATAGTCGCTCCAGTTTCTGTGTCTATGCATTCTCATGTAGGTGGCCCAGCATATTCTTGGGACAGGGGAATGTATGCTGTCTCCTCTATCAGGTTCACCATGGGTTGCATTCATGTCTGTTTCCCCTCTGTTTTTGTCTCCTTTTTCAGTTCCATCCAAAGCTGTAGCTCTCTCCCTAGCTCTTTGTTTCCATTGTATTCTTGTATGAATTCTTTGGGTATCGCTGAAAAACTGACCCTGGTCTCCCTAAAACACCCCACAGTCACGTTCAAGCTCTATGACACAGACAGAAATGGGATTCTGGACAGCTCGGTGAGTTGTGGGGCCAGGATGCTCGGCAAGTGAGTATGTTTCCATTTTCTGTGCCTTCCTGCCCCAACTCTTCCAGGGTTTTAAGAAGCAGAGAAAGGCCTGGGGGTGTGGCTCAGTGGTAGAGGATTAGCCTAGAGTGTGCAAGCCCCTGCTTTCAATCCCAAGCACACACACGCATACACAAACAAAAGGGAATAGGTCTTAAGCTCTTGATCCGTAAAAGAGAAGCCTAGAGTTATGAACAGGGGGCTGCCTTTCAAATATATAAACACATTTGTTTATTTGACAGAGGTACTTGAGAATGAAAGGGTGGGGCTGGGAGCAGAATCCAGGAACCTGGACTTCTGGAGAGTAATGTGAGTAGGAGTAATGAAGAGGATGTGGCTGTGACTCTTACCCTCTTCTCCTCAGGAAGTGGAAAAAATCATCCTCCAGATGATGCGAGTGGCTGAATACTTGGATTGGGATGTGTCTGAGCTGAGGCCGGTAAGGCAGTTCTTCCTTCCTGTCCCTCATTGTACCTTCTCACCCACTGATTCTGCATCGGCCTTACCCCTTGTCTGAGGGGCTGCCTGGTTCCCTTGGTTCAAGTGGCTGTGTGGGGTGTCCTTTCGAGACAGTGGAGAGGTGTCTGAGGGACGACTCACGTTAAAACTCCCTTCCCACTCTCTGCTCAGATTCTTCAGGAGATGATGAAAGAGATTGACTATGATGGCAGTGGCTCTGTCTCCTTAGCTGAGTGGGTTCGGGCTGGGGCCACGACGGTGCCACTGCTAGTGCTGCTGGGACTGGAGATGGTGAGTGGCAAAGGCTTGTGAGGATGGGTAAATCAGCTGCCTAGGGTTTGCCGCCAGATGTCTGTCCTCTAAGGGCTTAGACGCTCCCTAGCATCCTCTGTGCCCTCCCAGACTCTGAAGGACGACGGGCAACACATGTGGAGACCCAAGAGGTTCCCTAGACCAGTCTACTGCAACCTGTGCGAGTCGAGCATTGGTCTGGGCAAACAGGGGCTGAGCTGTAACCGTGAGTGTTGGGACCTGAGTATATGAAAGGAGAGGGGAGTCCAGCCATCTGCAGGAGCATGGCCTCCTGAACTTAGAGACCTGGGTTTGAATTCTGGCTTTGCCATTGACTAGTTATGTCACCTTGGAAAACCCAACTTTCTTTCCTTTTTTTTTTGTGGTGCTGGGGATCAAACCCCAGACCTCATGTATCTTCTTTAGGCTCTGTAGTTTCCTTAACTGAAAATGAGGTGATTGTGAACATTAAATAAGTTGATGCAAAAGAATATGCTTCACACAGTGCATGCACATACTTATAAAATTCAATTAAAGTTATTATTACTACTATTACAGTTATAACTCGGTATTGCTTACATCATCCAGCTCAGTTCTGCTGGTACGTAGAGGGTGTAGGACTGACATGGGGAGGCAGATGTTCTTTCAGGAGGATGCCTGAGGAAAAGGCACAGGTCTCGGAGGTGAACCTTGCTTAGTAACACTAATTCTCTGCCACATCCTGACAGCAAGGGATGAGATGTCCTATTGCAGTAAATGATTCTTCCTCACTTTGCACATAAGGAAGGATGGGGAGGGGCTGCAACAAAGCTTCTGACCTTCTTCCCCGTCTCCCAGTCTGTAAGTACACCGTTCACGATCACTGCGCCATGAAGGCCGCGCCATGTGAAGTCAGCACCTATGCCAAGTCTCGGAAGGACATTGGTGTGAGTGATCCTCGCGTCACCACCCGCATCGTGGCCCTGGTCCCTGGCCCAGCATCCTAAGCCCCTCCCTCCCACTTCTCTACTCAGATCCTCCCAGACAAAGCATTGCTTTTCTCCCCAAGGTCCAATCACACGTGTGGGTGCGAGGAGGCTGTGAGTCTGGCCGTTGTGACCGCTGTCAGAAAAAGATCCGGATTTACCACAGTTTAACCGGGCTGCATTGTGTATGGTGCCACCTACAGGTCAGTTTGGGAGCTACCTCTCTAGGATATGCTTTGGGACCCTTCCCAGTTGCCCCTGCTCCAAAGGACTCATTCCAGTTTAAACCCCTAATTTCACAGACAGCGGTCCCTTGATCTCTGTGCACTCCTTGTGTTTTCAGATCCACGATGACTGCCTGCAAGCCATAGGCCCGGAGTGTGACTGTGGCCCGCTCCGTGAACACATCCTGCCCCCATCCTCCATCTATCCCAGTGTCCTGGTGAGACCCTCAGGCATCAGCGGGAAGGGGACAGTGGTGCCTTCCTGGATTTCCCATACACTCACCCGCACATGGGATGCCACTTAGAACAGAGAGCCTATGCTCTGAAGATTCAAACCAGACCCGTCCTCTTGGGGATTCACAAATAATCCAGCTTTCCTTCCCTCTGCTTTGCTCCCTTCCCAGGCATCAGGACAGGAGCGTAAACAGATCAAAATAAGCCAGAAACCCACGGATGACTTAAATGTGTTCACGTCTGAAGCTCTGCGGGTACAGGGCCGAGGGGCTTGGGCTTCCTGGTGTGGCCAGTCTGGGGCTGGTGCCACCCTGCAGGGACTAAAGTAGGAAAGCCTGGGAGGGCTGCTTCCTGTTGGGGGAGGTGGAAGTATTGTGAGGAATGCCCTGTCTGCAAGGCCGCCTTATCTCTGAAAACATCCTGGTTTGTTTATTCTTATCCCCCCCACCCCTTGCAGATTGAGCCTGTTCCTAACACTCACCCACTTCTAGTCTTTGTCAATCCTAAGAGTGGTGGGAAGCAAGGGCAGAGGTGAGAAGAGAAGTCTGTGTCTTCCTAAGTAAAGTGGGAAAGCCAGAGTTTGGAGGGAGGAAGGGAAGGTGGTATATTGGTGGGGGCACCTTGAGGAGGACATTAACAGGGGTATAGAATAGCACTTTCACTTCACCCCACCGTGAACTTTCCTTTTTCCCTCACACAGGGTGCTCTGGAAGTTCCAGTATATACTAAACCCTCGGCAGGTGTTTAACCTGCTAAGGGATGGTCCTGAGCCAGGGTAAGTGTAGGTTAGGGCCTTGGCAGTGTTTTTGTGTGCAGGAAAGAGTGTATGTTGGGAGAAGAGGCCTAGGCAACTCCAAGAGGCCCAAATTCAGAATCCTTTTTTCCCTAAGGTCCCTGGGTATCCCCGCTTCTCAGCCCTCTGGCCCCTCTTTGTCTTGCTCTAAAAGGATAAACCTGTTTTTTCCTAACCATTGTGAAGTAACTCTTAACTCTCCACCATTGCCTTTTTCTCTGTCCTTAATAGAAAATAGAATCCATTATTATTATCATTATTATTGGAACTGAACCCAGGGGATTGAACCTAAGAGTTTAACCACTGAGCTATACCCCCAGCCCAAAACTCAAGTATTTTGACAAAGACAAAGAGGGTCATAGTAATGAGAAACATGAAGTTTCATGCCTGTCCAAGAGTCAAGTAACCTCTGTCCTTCTTTACTTTCTTTCTCCCCTTTTGTCTCAGACTCAGATTCTTCAAAGATGTTCCTGATAGCCGGATTTTGGTGTGTGGTGGAGATGGCACAGTAGGCTGGATTCTAGAGAGCATTGGTCAGTGCAAGGAGAGGCACAGGCAGGAGATGGGGGCAGTGGTACCCGGGGTCAGCTCCCTCCATCTGTGTCTTCACCTGCCTCCCCAGAGAAAGCCAACTTGCCTGTGGTGCCTCCTGTTGCTGTGCTGCCTCTAGGCACTGGAAATGATCTGGCTCGTTGCCTACGGTGGGGAGGAGGTAGGTTGTTAGAAGTAGTTTTGCCTGGGTGTAGGGGGAGTTGGGTGGGAAGGGAAAGGCATGCAAAGAAGAGTCTAGGCATCTGGTGTGGAAAGAGGGTTGGGGGAGAAGAGAGGCACAGATGAGGGTGTACTAACATAGAATGACCAAACAGAAGAGAGCTTTGGAAGAAGTAGGGGGACCACATTCTGAACCTAGAAGAGCCAAGGGTGACAATTCTCTTCCTCATAAGCCTAAAAATATTTGTTTCTCCAAACAACTTTTAGGGCTGAGAGGATCAAGGCATATGGTGGGGGGTGGGGAGGGGGTGGCGCGCAGGGGAATAAGTGGAGATAAAGAAGCTTGTGAAAGAACGAAGGCAATAAAGAGAAAGAAAAAAAAAGAAAAAGAACTAAGGCAGATGATGGAGCTAGCAGGAGCTTTTTCATGATTCATTCATTCAGCTAACGTTTCATTCATGTTCATGCATTCATGCACACGATTCTTTCTGAGTCTATTGCAACAGTCTCCTAGCTGCACTCCATTTCTAATCTCTTATTCTTTCAAAGAAACAATTTCAGGAATGGTACTGGTAGACAAAGAGGTCAGTTTAGGGCAGCTTGTGTCTGAATTATCTTGGGGTTAAAGCTGTTGGGCTCAGAGTCCAGCTCAAAAATCTTGCTTAAGATTAAGGCATAGAGGTCTACTAAGAAGAGAAGGAGGGTTCCAGGTAGAGAAATTGGTGTAAGGTCAGGGGAGCCACAAAACAGTATGGTGGTACATTGGGGAAACTGAGTCACTTACTATGATTGGGGCCTAGGGTGCAAGGTGAGGAATGAGGAGAGGGAGGGCTGAGTTGAGCAGGTGCAGATTATGGAGGGTTATGAAGTTCATTACTATGGAGTTCTTATCCATATCCTCCCAGAAATCAAGCTCACAGCTCTCAGAAATGATTTTTTATCATTTTGTACTGTTTGCCTTCCAGTATTCTTAATTTCTTTGATTTTTATTTTATTTTGGTGGTACTGGGTATTGAATCTGGGCCTTTGCGCTGAACCATATCCCAGCCCTTTTAATTTTTAAATCTGAGACACGGTCTTGCTTAGTCACTAAATTGCCCAGCCTGGGTTTGCACTGAACTTGACTATTTCTAGTGGATCACTTACACTTCTGTTCACACCGATCCCCTTGACCCCCTGCTAGCTACTCATTTGCTTTACCTTTAAAGCCACTGAAGCATTTGACTTCATAGACCCTGAACCATGAGGGAACGCTTGATATAAACAAACGAAAAAATAGGAAGAATGCTGGGCATGGTGGCACACATTTGTAATCCTAGCACTCGGAAGCTGAAGCAGGAGGATTGAGGCCAGCCTGGGCCACATAGTGACTTCAAGGCCAGCCTAGCCTACGTAGCAAGACCCTGTCTCAAAAAACAAATTTAAAAAATAGAAAGAAATATCTCTGGGTGTAGAGTATAACTTTATTCTCCAGTATTGGGGTTTAAACTGAGGGTTGCTGCACTGAGCTACATCCCACCTTTTTTGTTCTTTGTATTTTTAGAGACAGAGTCTCAATAAATTGCTAAATGTCCCAAGCTGGACTAGAACTTGCAAACCTTCTGCCTCTGCCTCCTAGAGTGCTGGAATCACAGGCATGCTACAAGCATGCCTGGTTTATAGCTTAAATCTTGTACATATACATTGAACTTTTAATTTTTTTTTTGCCAACTTACAGGTCCATATTATCTGGATTTTTCATATATAGTATTATTCACTTTAAATCATGTATTTTGTATGAGTCTTCATGTGTGTTCTACAAACAAAACTCTTGTTTTTTGGTACTGGGGATCGAACTCAGGACCTTGCAATTGCAAGGCACGCACGGTGTCACTGAGCTAAATCCCTGGCCCATACAAATGAGACTCTTGAAGCAGTTGTCTCCTAACTCGAGCTGAACCATCACCATACACATAAATATAGCACTGAGAAAAATGTGTGTTGAAATTGAAAAACAAACTTTGAGGAAAAGCCGTGAAGAGGATTTCACTGTGGGAGCTCTGTGGATTAAAGGAAGGAGACAAGATCAGAAACTACCTGTATTGCAATGGTTCATAAAAGAGATGATAGCCAGAGAAGAAAAGACAGCAGCAGTGGGTAATGAGATAGAAGTGACAGCATTTGATAACTGAGTGGTCGTGGAGGAGGAGGAAGAAGTGTGACATGTTTAGGTTTGTGGACTGAGCAAATAGGAGTGCCATTTGTTATGATGGGGACATGGGAGGAAGACCTTTAAAGAAGAAAGGTAGATTCACGTTTGAACTGTTAAGGGGAGATGAAAATGGAGCAGTCGGATAGAGACATGGGGAACACTTAGAAATAGATGTCAGAGATTTAGCAGAGAAGTTGGGGTTGGAGATACCTGCCGGACAGTCATCTGGTCCCAGTGGAAACGGACAGCCTGACGGTAGATGGCTCACCCAAGGACAGAGGTAAGGTAGACAAGGACAGGAAGACCCTGGTGATATCATCCTTAAGGGCACAGCAGAGGATGAAGAGGTATTAAAAGAGTCTATGTTTAGCCAGGTGTGATGGCACAAGCTTGAAATCCCAGCATGAGGGAGGCTGAGGCAGGAGGATCGCCATGAGCCAGCCTGGGCTACATGTCAAAAAAACAAACAAACAAATAAAAGACTCTCTATGCTTATACCCTAATGCTGCTATAACAAATTACACCAATAGTGGCTCCAGCAACACAAATTTTCTGTCTTACAGTTCTGGAGATCAAAAGTCCAAAATGAATCTCACTGGGCTGAAATGAAGGGATCGACAGGCCATGTTTTTCTCTAGAAGTGCTGCAAGGAGACTCCTTTGCCTTTTGTTTTCCAGTTTGTAGAGGCTATCTGCATTCCTTGGCCCCTGGCCCCCTCCTAAAGAGTAATGTTAGCACTCCAACCTCTTCATCTATTGTCACAGCTCCTTCTAAGACCTCTCTCCTGTCTTCCTCTTTTATTTATTTATTTTTAAATTTTTGAGACAGAGTCTCACTATATAGCTGAGCCTGGCCCCAAAGTTGCACTGACTGATCCTCCTTCCTCTGTCTCCCAAATTCTGGGATTACAGTTGTGTGCCACCATACCTGGCCTCCTCTTTCATTTATAAGGAGTTTTGTATTACATTGGGACCATTTAAATAATCTTGATAATGTCCCTTCAAGATCCTCAGTGTAATCCTATCTGCAAAGTCTTTTTGCCAGGTATAATTCCTTTTTCTTCTTTCTTCATTCCTTCCTTTTTTCTTTCTCCCTTCCTTCTTTTCCTTCCTTGCCTTCCCTCCCTTCCTTTCTCTCTCAGTACTGGGGATTGAACCCGGGGCCTTTGCAATGAGCTACATTCCCAGCCCTTTTGTACTTTTATTTTGAGACAGGGTCTCACTGAGTCATTAAGTTGCCCAGGCTGGACTCCAAATTTCAACTCTCTGCCCCAGTCTCCTAAGTAGCCGGGATTAAAGTTATGTACCACTATAACTAGTCTGTATAAAGTTCTTGAGATTAGGATATAGACATTTTGAGGAAGCCATTATTATCTGCCTACTACAGAGACTACAAAGGAATGATCAGAGAGGGTCCTCTGGAATGAAGAGTGATATTTCAGAAACTAAGTGAAGAATTAAAGTGATAAGCCATGTGTGGTGGCGCACACCTGTAATCCCAGCACTCAGGGGGCTGAGGCAGGAGGATCACTGTGAGTTCGAGACCAGCCTGGGCTACATATAGTGAGTCCAAGGCCAGTCTGGTGTACATAGCGAGACCATGTCTCAAACACCAAAAACAACAACATAAAAAGTTAAAATGAGAACTAAAGCTAAACTGTTAGTTTTGGCAGGAGTTATTAGTGGTCTTTGCCAAGAGTTTCAGCAGAGTGGGATGGTGAAAGGCAGATTACAGCGGTGGAATCATCAGTGGAATGTAAGGAAATGGAAACTTTTTTTTTTTAATCTTCTTTTCCCCCTGGTACAAAAATAATAGATTCTTGTGGTTAAAAATAAATAAATAAATCTCAGATATACATGCCAAGAAAGTGAAAGTTCTCTAAAATTTATTCCATAAAGTTTTAGATTCCATTCCTTTGTCTCTTTACTTCTAGACACATACTAATATTTATTTAAGCAAGATTTTATTCCCCCAATACTAAGGCCTTCACACTAAGCTAAATCTCCAACCATTTTAAACATTTTGGGGTTTTTTTTTCTTTTTTTTTTTTAACTGTGATCTATTTACTTATTTTGTTCTTTTGAGACAGAGTCACCCACAAAACTGTAATTGTAGCTCTCTGGGAAGCTGAGGCAGGAAGATTGAGCAAAGCCTGGGCAATTAAGCAGTTTAGCAAGACCCAATCTCAAAAGGCAGGGAGGGTGATACTGGGGATTTAGCTCAGGGTGAAGGGCCTTGGTTCAGTCCCCGGTACCATAGGGTGGGAGTGGGGATCCAGTGCGGTGGCAACACCTCCCAGTGCTGAGGAGGAATGAGGCAGGGAGGTCATGAGTTTGAGACCAGCCTCAAAGACCCCGTCTCAGAAAAGAGACTTTTTACATGGGTTCACATACTGTTCTGCTTTTCCCAGTCTTCATCAAATCCCCTGCACCTCAGGGATAACCACTGTTTCCTATGTTCACTCATATTGCTGTTTCCATATGCACACATGTGCATGCATGTGAACTCATGCACAACTTGTTTTTCCTCCTATACTAGGAATTGAACATAAGAGCCTTAGCACTGAGCTACCTCTCCACCTCCTTTTCATTTCTTGTTTTTATTTTATTTTTTTCACAGAACAAATGATTGAACTCAGGACCTTGCACTTGCCAGGCAGGAACTGGTGTCACTGAGCTAAATCTCCAGCCCTCATTTTTTATTTTGAAGCCAAGTCTTGCTAAGTTGCTGAGTTGCCCAGGCTGAGCTCGAATTTGTAATCCTCCTGCCCAGGGTGCTAGGTATAGGTGTGCACCACCACGTCCAGCCAAACATGACATTTTAACAAATGGAATCATGCTACACAGATTGTTCTAGGACTTTCTTTTGGACTTCTGTTATCATTGAGCACTGCATCCTAAAGAATTCTCATGTTAATACAGATAGATAGATTTCATTTTATTTTCAATACCTGCACAGTATTTTTGTGGCATGGATTTGACACATTTTTAATGACCTTTCCCTGTTTTTTTTTTTTCTTCCCTCCATACTACATCAACCCAACTTATCAGTATGTCCCTTTCCCCCAGGGCAGTTCCAGATGCTCAGAACTGAGCCCCAGTTACCTAATTAGGTCCCAGAGTCTCTGATCCAGCCCTGGTGAAGTGGCAAGATCTACTTGTTCCCCAACTCCTGCCCCTCCAGGCGACAGCTGCAATGCCTGACCTTTCTCCACAGATGGTCATTTAGATTGTGATTTTTGCTGTTTCAGAGGCTACTTCAACAAACATCCAGCTCTTCACAGATATCTTAGTTTCTAAAGGAAAAGTTGCTAAATATAGAATTGCTATATCCAAAACTATGTTTTGAAGCCAGACAAGGTAGTGCACACCTCTAATCTCAGCTACTTGGAAGGCTGAGGCAGGAGGATGCAAGTTTAAAGCCAGCCTGAGCAACCTAGTGAGACCTTGTCTCAAAATAAAAATTTTAAAAGGCTAGAAATGTAGCTCAGTGGCAGAGCAAGTAAGTGCAAGGCCCTCCATTCAATCCTCAGTGCTGAAAAAAATTTTTTTGTTTAATAAAATTTTATTTTCCATGTTAGGGAAGCGCTTTACCATTGAGCTACACCCCCAGCATCAAAATTTGATATTTTTACAAAACTTGTCACTTGCTTTCTAAGAATGAGTCATTAATGTATGTTCCAACTAACAGCAAACGAGAGTTCATAAGCTCTTTTTTTTTTTTTTTTTTGGTAACTGGGATCAAACTCGGGCCCTAGCAAGGCAGGTGGTGGAACCACTAAGCTAAATCCCCAGCCCCACAGTTCATAAACTCTGAACTGTTGGTTTTCTCAGTCACCTTATAGTTTGCTAACTTGATAGGCACAAAAGTTAACCATTTTCAATTTCTCTCTCTCCCTTTTTTGGGGGGGTACCGGGGATCAAACTCAAGACCTTGCACTTTGAAGGTAAGTGAGCCACTGAGCTAAATCCCGGCCTGCAATTTCTTTTTTTTTTTTTTTTTTTTGTACCGGGGATGGAACTCAGGTCCTTGCGCTTGCGAGGTAGGCAGCAGAACCACTGAGCTAAATACTCGGCCCTGCAATTTCTTTTAATTACCAGTATTACTGAACATCTTTCATATGCATATTGGCCATTTGTATTTCTTCTTCTGAGATAGGTTTATTTGTATTATTTGCTCACTTGCTCTCTTTTTTTGTTTGTTTGTGGGTTTTTTGTTTTGTTTGTTTTGTTTTGTTTTTGTACCGGGATCGAACTCAGGTCCTTGTGCGTGCAAAGCAGGCAGCAGAACCACTGAGCTAAATCTCCAGCATGTTTGTTTGTTTTTTGAGACAAGGTCTTGCTGTGTAGTCCAGGCTGACCTTGAACTCATTATGTTGCCCAGGCTGGACTTGAATTCTTTGTGATCCTCTTGCCTCAGCCTTCTAAATGCTGGTACTACAGACTTGTTCCACCAAGCCTGGTCCATCTGTCCATTTTTTATACTGAGTGTAATAAAGTGATTTTAAATGTTTTATTTTAATGTTTTGTATGTGCAGTTCTGGGGAGTCAAACCCAAGGCCTCATACATGCTAGGCAAGTGCTCTTGCACTGAGCTACACTCCTCTCCCTCCAAGTGCGTACTGTATGTCCTTTCCTTCTCTTCTCTTTTCCTCCCCTTTTCTTTTCTTTCTTTGTTTCAGTCTCATTAAATTGCCCTGGCCGGCCTCAAACTTGTGATCCTCCTGCCTTAGTAGCTGGGATTACAGGTTATATGTACACCACCACACTCACCTAGAACTTTTTTTGTGTTTGAGACAGGGTCTCACTATGTAGTTGAGACTGACCTGGAACTCACTATGTAGCCCAGGCTGGTCTCCAACTCACAGCGATCCTCCTGCCTCAGTCTCAGCCTGCTAGGATTATAGGCATGAACCACCACGCCCGGCTCACCTAGAACTTTTGTAATATTTTGAAGTTAATCTGATATATGTGCATTTTTCCCTCTGTTTATATTTCTGTTTCCTTTCCTTCCATATATATATATA